AAACTATGATGCAAAACATTGTAAGTTTCTAACACTAAAAACATAGCACTTCAATGCTGGGTCCGCCACTGGCATTGGCAAGGTTTCACAAGGCATGGTCAATCCTTTAGTTGATTGTGAGGCGTCCGAAAGCAAGAGTTGAAAAGTGTAATTTTCAGTCACTGCTCATCCAAATTTAGCTGGTTACATGACATCCAATTGCACCATTTACAGTGTCTGAGATATTGTTTAAGGTTCCAATCGAAGTTATGGTATTTTACATTCTTGTAGTCTACATGTTGGAGGCATGGCGAGGATCCTCTCGGATTCTGGTTCTCCTCGTTGTCTAATTTCAATGCGTTAAAACCTATATTAATGACAATTGGATTAGTATGAAGTAGAGATTAGAGAAGCTATGGTGGTTTTCTCTTCGTCTTTTCCATATTATGGAATGCCTTGAGTTGCAGTTGCATTAATAATCCGTTCACAGTTGCACAATTTGAGTATCGGAATTTCTTTTTATTTTTTATTTTTTAATTTGGGTGAAAGAGTTTTCTGAAAAAGTCATATTGAATCATTTTTTTTAAAAGTTCTTTTAACGAAATAAAGTATTTTTAGAAAATCATTCAAATAAATTTTAAAATTTTTTTTGAACTTTTCAAAATCATTTCAAAAGGGCACATTACATCTATTGCATAATTGATGCGCATTACTAATTGTTAAATTAGATTAGACGATTTTCTTCTTTAATTTTAGTGACATTTACAATTTTTCATTTCCAACTTTTTCAAAATGTAACAAATTTACTATCAACCTTTATTTTATTTTATTTTATTTATTATTATTATTGTTGTTGTTGTTGTTGTTGTTGTATAATTCATTCTCAACCTTTCAATTTTGTAGCAAAACTTACAATTTCTTTCATTTTGCCCCTTAAATGAAGAATTTGTCCTTTTTAAATGGAACTACAAATAGCAAAACCCATAAATTTAAGAGAAAATTAAAGTCACAATAGCAAAATCCATAAATTTAAGAGAAAATTGCAGTCATGGTACCAAACCTTTCATTTGTGCCATTGTGAATACCAAATCTTCAAAAAATTCGCAGCTCAAATCCAAAATGACGATTTCCGTCAGTTCGACTACCAAATCCGTCAGTTGACTCCCAAAAAAAAAAACTCTATTATTTTCCCCAAATAAGACATGGTCATTTTGGACAAATCACATTTCCCCTATTAAATAAAAAATTTAAAATAAATAAATAAATAAAACCACAGCCCATCTCCATCTTCTTCTTCCCTAAAATTAAAATCACTCCACCCAACCGCCACCGTCACCGTCAGCAACCTCCACTACCCACCCAACATGGGCATCACCAATTTTAAAGAGCATTAATTTAGATGACTTCTCAAGAGCAAGAACATATTTAGAGCATGTTTGGCTAAGTTTAAAATATAATTAAAATTGAAAATATAGTCGTTATTGGGCCCCACTCGTCTAATAAAAGTCAACAATAACGGCTAGTTTTTTAATTTTAATCCGATTTTAATTTCTATCGAACACGCTCTTAATCTATTTATGTGAAATCTCACAAAACTCTATACTCCAGAACAAGTCCTGCAAAGCAAAACGCACAAAAATAGCAAATAAAATTTAGATCCACCATTAAAACCTCCAAAATTCACAAAAAACATCATAAGAAAATATAAATAGAACATCATACGACATCTACAAAAAAACCCACAAAAAGATTTAGGGAAGAAATGTGCAAACAAAACAAAACAAATCAAACCCCATTAAATAGCACAAAAATATATCAGATCAACCTTCAAATCGTAAAAACATACCAAAAAAGTCAAAAACTACAAATATATACACACATAGAGCAGTCGAAGAAGAAGAACCAAAGAAACATAGCTTCAATGGAGACCCAAAAACAACATTCAAATAAGAATTTCTCAACATAAAATCACTTCAACACCAAACCCTTTTTTTTAACACGCACGCACGCAAATGAAATGATAAACATTAGCCATTACAAGTACTCTCATGTCATCTTCTCTCATTCGAAGCGTGCCTAGTTGTCTCGATTGGCTCCAAATATCCCTCGTATGAATCCTGGAGATGGGAAAAAACGATCAGTTAAAAATCCTGCCCACTAAGTGTAACGACCCAACCTCTCACCGGAGCCGTTATCTTACGTACTATCCGCTCTGGGGTGGGCTTTTGCCCATTTATCCCTATGGCTTTCTAACGTGTCCCCCAAGATTCGAACCCAAGACTTCCATCATATGGGAGACTTAAATTGAATCCTGGTAACATTGGTACGAGGATTCAACTTAAGTCTCCCATATGATGGAGGTTTTCGGTTCGAATCTTGGGGGACGCGTTAGAAAGTCGTAGGGGTAAGATCGGCCTATGCTCTTCCACAACAGACAGTACGTATGATATGATAACGACATCGGCCTAAGTTTTTGTAACGACCCGACCTCTTACCGGAGCCGTTATCTTACGTACTGTCCACTTTGGGGTGTGTTTCTGCCCACTTATCCCCTCACGACTTTCTGATGCGTTGCCCAATTGGTACCAGGATTCAATTTAAATCTCCCATATGGTGGAGGTCTTGGGCTCGAATCCTGGGGGACGCATCAGAAAGTCGTG